TCAAGAATAAGGGCACTCCATTGATCACCGATGTCGCGAGCGCCTCCTCCGCTAATCTAATGGTCGCCATTCTCTTTAGGCAGGAGAACTTTGTCAACCTTTGGTACGAAATCGCCGTCAGCGTGCCGCACTCCCTTCCCCTGTCCATTCGACGCAGACTGGCCAAGGTCTTCCATTACGGCGGAGCTCACAGCGGTAGCGGTACCTCCGCCGTTGTTTGGTTTATTCTATACGTCGTCCTTGCCACCAAAGAATATATTGACGCCCCATCTACCGCCACGAGGAGCAATCTTATCTTGGCCTGGATCATTGTTACGATGTTCTCACTCATTCTCGCTTCTGCCCACCCACGATTCCGCGTCCTCTTCCACGACTACTTCGAGGCCGGCCACAGGTACGCCGGCTGGATCACGCTCGTCACCTTCTGGATTCACAACGGCCTGGTCGCCCACGTATACGCAAAAGAGGAAGGCATCCCCGTCGGTCTCAACCTCGCGAAGTCGCCCAACTTCTGGTTCTTCTGCATCTCCACCAGCTGCACGCTTCTCTCCTGGTCGCGCCTGCGCCGCCACGATGTGTACCCCGAAATCCTCTCCGACCACGCCATCCGCCTGCACTTCAAGTACCGGCCCATGCAGCCTTTCTACGGTCTCAAGGTATCCACCCGGCCGCTTCTCGAATGGCACGCCTTCGCCACCATCCCCGACGAGGACGAGAACGGCAAGATCAACGGCTTCTCAGTCGTCGCCTCCAACGCCGGCGATTGGACGCGCGAAACGATAAAGAACCCACCCAAGAAGCTCTGGGTCCGCGGGTACCCCCTGCACGGGCTTCTCTACACCTCGCGTCTCTTCAAGCGCATCGTCGTCGTCGCCACCGGCTCCGGCATCGGGCCCTGCCTGTCGCTCCTCTACGCCGACTGCACACCGCGCCGCGTGCTCTGGTCCACGCCGCACCCCGAGACGACGTACGGGCCCAAGATCATGAACGCCGTGCTCAAGGCCGACCCCGACGCGATTGTCTGGAACACGCGCACGCTCGGCCGGCCCGACATGGTCTCGCTCACGTACCAGCTGGTCTTGGAGAGCAAGGCCGAGGCGGTGTTCATCATTTCCAACCCCAAGGTCACGAAGAAGGTCGTCTACGGCATGCAGACCAGGGGAATCCCGGCTTATGGCGCTATCTTCGATTCATAAATCATCGGCTTTGTGTATAATAGAGACTGAAGCAGTCGCTTTAGGTGAGTGCAAGCCAGATTTATTCTATCCTCCTTCTAACGCGCATGTTTCTCAGATGTACATTTTTCACTCCATTTTTTCAATGAGTTTTACGCAAATAGATAAGCTCCCCTTAGTTTAGACTTGCACAAATGTGCACAAAGCATCGTATATGTAACGATAACGATTGTTGTAATGTAATATGATGATAACAATGTGAATTTTCGAAACACGAAAATACTAATACTGGCTTAATCAAGCTCGTTTCAGCCAATTACATCGGGTCCTCTTTCTTTATTCTTGTCCAGCCTCACTCTCTCACATGCATCAAAAAGTAAACTACGCGCCATCCAAATGATTGAAGTGCCATAAATTATAAATAGATTCAGATGCCTATAGATAGTATATTCACATCTCGACACGGCTTCGATGGGCGGAGTGACATATGGTTCGGGCACCGGAATGCACAAGGTGCTATCTAGTAGTATCGATATAGATATAGTTGTGGAAGCATACGACTGAAGTTATCGTTATCACTCGTATATCAGTCAGGGCCCTCCACGTAGGTATCTGGATAAATATAAGCGCTGAACGCTGTATAGAATCACTTCGATTCAAGTTCAAGCACAACCAAGAAGTTTTTATATATCCACAGTCTGACCTGAGTTGCATATGCAGAAGTGCTCGGCTCTGTTGGCTCACTCCGATGAAAAATGAGGCATCCTAATGCAAGTGCCAAGCACTCCATGATATGTACTCGGAGTAGGCAACAAGCGTGGTGCACAGTAATCAGTAATCGTATCGTCGATTCATGGTTCCACCACAAACGGTGGGCTATCATCGCAGATCTTATCCATCGCATCATATGGGTACCGGTGTGCGAAAAAATCATCTCATGGCCCAACTTGCTAACTCAGCAAAGAGTTTCGTGGTGCTGCCACGCCAAGTGAATCTAATGGAGCCCAGACTTCAGCAGCATAAGCAAACCCGCGTTCGACGCACCTTCCCACAGGCCGTTCACACAGCAGTGATTCGGCTTGATGTCGATAGAGTTCTGTGGGCATAAGGCTTACTTGCGGATGTAATTGTTCCGCACCGCAGTCGAATGCAGAGGTACTGGCATCATGGAAAACTTTGACGACTGGACGTAAAGGAATGCGCAGTCTTCGTGTGGTGAATGAGCGTCGTGTCCGCCTGTAAATGTTCTTCCCTAATAACGAAACTGAGTCATCACCGGTCCCGGTCATCAGTGATACTAGAATAATCGGAGGCAAGCAGACTCACAATAAGTGCTGTTCGTCTGGGAAGTGGGGTACAGGTTCGAAGATGTTTAATGGTCCCGAACATCGGATTGGTCGAACTAAAATTTATCTAGCATCTGAGAAAATCATAAAATTGCGTCAGCGAAGCGAAAAATTCAGCAGCAGAGCACGGATAAAACAAAGGTATGTCGTAAAATAAGACGGAAAGGATAGAACTTCCCGAGTCAAGAAGGGAAAAGGTGGATGTTAGCGATCAGCATCGCTTCACGTGGAACCGAGATCTTCGTCGGTGTGCCGACAATCTTTATGCCATATGCCCAAGACACAATCACAAAGGAGGTACCATGCACCCTTGGTTCGCTCGTATGATTCAGCATAGTTATCTGATAAGGGGCCTTCGTGTGCCATAATGTCGCAACATGACTAGCTAGTTTACAAATGTCATTCTCTTTCTAGAAACGCATCGTGCACAGGGTACTCGTTAGAAACATCTTGGAATGTAGAGAGGGCATGCTTGGCTCACCTAAGATCCAATCTGCTTCCATCATCCCCTCGATCTCGCCATCCAAGTATCACAATTATCACAATGTCACCTCTCACCTATACCCGCAGGAGCGCCAGCCACCCCACCAATTCCCAAACGGTCAGGCGAACCCCCACTCTCCCTTATCGTCAGGCCTAATCGCGCGCGCCGACGCCTTGAACGATTCGATTTGCTGCCGCACATGTTCGCACTCCGGATTCGCAGAAAGGATATTATACGCATTCGGGAGAGCCTCTTCGAGCATCTACATCACACCGACGAAGATGTAGGTGAGAAAGGAAGGAAGCGGGCAGCAGATGCACAAAAAAAAAGGGCCTATACCTTGACTCGAAGGTCAGACGTGGGGTGCGTACTGAAGAAGTTCATTTTGCCGCCTATCTTCGATTCCAGCTTGCCTAGTCGAGTGAATACCCTAGATATTGAGGTTATGGAAGCGATGCTGGGGCGAAAGCGGAAAACGCTTACTGAGGTGCCGCTGCGGGATTGTAACAAGCTCGGCTCATCAATCTCAGTCCAATCAGATCAGCTGCATTGGAACAAATTAAGATTAAATATCAACATGCACGTTGATTCGAGAGCGTACCTTCGTGCTCTTGCGTTCGGGAGTTCGGAAGCTCTAGAAATAATGAATGGAAAATATTGGTGAGACCGGCGTCGACGCCTATCACCCATGAAACCAATCCAAAAACGATCAAGCGGATAGTTTGGCTGGAGATACGCTCTGCGGTATGACGTGCAACTGAATTTGGTGTTTAATGGCAATCTGACATAGTTTCGTTAGTCCACCTACCAACATGGCCGATTTCTGGGGGGCTGTAATGAGTACGGCCTAAGTATACTTTGTTTAGCGCTTACCGTGTGATAGCACTGCAGCTAGCCCTTCTTCATCTTGACATATTGGAAGAATGCCGGTGAAAACCACAATCGTGCCTAGCAAACAGGTCAATTGAAAGAATCCAAAGAGCAACCATAACCTTACCAGGAACCGCCATCGCATTGATCATCTTCTGATCACTCACAACCAAGACATTCCACTCTTTCGTTGGGCCATAAACTGGCCCAGGATTAGCGGCAGCGCCGAATTGTGCATCGGGATTCCAAGAGGTTCCATCAGGATCGACGGTCATGCCGAAAGGAGAGAGCGAAGCGAGGGGTTGTTCGCCACTAAGAATGCCTAAATTCGAGGCGTGAAGAATCTGTGAGGCGACGCGCCGAACGTGTTTTGTAATTGGGTGATTCAAGGGCAGAGTTCTAGGTCCAAGTTCTGCGCGCAATTGCTTGTACATTGCCTCCGCTAGCTACAGATAATTAAACAGTATAGTAATAAGAGGAGCAAAGATTTGCTTGCCTTGGCTTCATATTCAGGTGATGTATTCATAAATCGCCAACGACCCGTCTCTGGAACCTGCTCCTGACTGAGGTAGATGATGATAAAATCCCCGACGATGGCATTGTGTAAGACTTACTGTGATACGTAGTATGCTGTTCCCAGAACACCAGTCCCGACAAAGATCTTCACCCGTATATCCCAAGTTCTCCAGTCGCGAGGATTTAGAGGCTGGTTAGGTTCGCCGCCTGGCGTCGAAAAGCGTACATAGGTAACCTGTCTTCGGGATGTTGAAGAGAATTGGCGGATTTTCGGATTGATACGTGGCGCCCTTCTGCAACCTTGGAAAATGGAAGTCGTGCGGAACATCTTTCAATGGCCTTTCCAAGTAAATGCCCAGATACGAGCAAGATAAGATTCAGAGGGAGCCGTATGGCAGCAAGAAATTATAGCAGAAGAGGTGGCCGGAGTGAACATGTCGTTCCTCGGCCGCGTCAACGTTTCACGCGCGCGTTTCAATTCGTCACACATCACAAGACGTTACCAGATGTAAAACCGGGCAGCCGCGGCCAATCGGGTAGCGGAACGATCAAGAGGAACATCAACATGGATGTCGTCTGAAATTCGTTGGAATTCATGTAAAAAAATAATGCCGAGTACCCGGATTGAACGAATGACCTTCTCATGTGCTTCATTGCGTATTTACGCAACTGTACAAGTGAGACGCGACTACCACTGCGCCAACACGGCGACGGAGGTTGGGCCTTCGTTGGTCTAGAGCTCCTGGGAGGCGTGATTGCTATAGAATAGAAATCCCGCCCGAAGAACATGAAAGCAAAAGAGCAAAAAACATATAGAGTACAAACAAAATGTAATCATTGGGAAACTAGACGACATGTAAACTAGACAACATGTATGGGTCGAAATTGATCTAGTTTCTCCTTACAGCCTTTTGCATAATAAACTGACACTGCTGGGGGTCAACTATTATTAAGGATGAAAAACGCATTGAAAACGGGTCCATATTTAGTTAAAATTAATAGAGTACTAAATATAGTGTTTTTAAACAATTGTGGAACTTTAGATTCAGCTCAAATTTTGAACAGTGCAGATTCTTTCCTTTTCAGATGATTTTTTGACCCTCAAAATCCTTTGTGAACACTTAATTTAGAAGTAAAAAGAATTTCGGCATTTGGATGCATTTTGAATGCATTTTGAACACATTTTGGATGCTTTTTTCATCCCCAATAATATAATCAAAATTTGGGATCCTACAAGCTGAAAGATCCATAAACCTTTGCCAAAGCCATCCCAGCAAAGGTTTATGGATCTTTCAGCTTAAAGGTTTATGGATCTTTCAGCTTGTAGGATCCCAAATTTTGATTATATTATTGGGGATGAAAAAAGCATCCAAAATGTGTTCAAAATGCATTCAAAATGCATCCAAATGCCGAAATTCTTTTTACTTCTAAATTAAGTGTTCACAAAGGATTTTGAGGGTCAAAAAATCATCTGAAAAGGAAAGAATCTGCACTGTTCAAAATTTGAGCTGAATCTAAAGTTCTATTCTGATTCCTATTGTCTTTTTCACTGCTCACAATTGTTTAAAAACACTATATTTAGTACTCTATTAATTTTAACTAAATATGGACCCGTTTTCAATGCGTTTTTCATCCTTAATAATAGTTGACCCCCAGCAGTGTGAACACGACGAAGATTTTTGCGTGATCATGTGACCATATTCCCACAGCCAAACAAAGTGCCCGTCGGTTAGATAACAATCAACAGGCGACGCTCAGGTTCCTCTGCTGCTAGTTTTTCTTGCAATGTACTTCAATCTATAGCTTTATTTCTCAACAATGTGTACATACACTCTACTCTGTACTATAATCACCATAAACCAGTGACTTAAAGGAGGAAAATCAGGAGAATCCTGGTGCACTTTTCAGGTATGGTGAGCGCCGGCTGAGCCTCGTTTTCCATCCTGCAGCCTTGTGCTTGATGCAACGTTGATGTCTAATGACTTTATTACATGTACCAAGCTGCATGTTCTAGGGATGCGAAGATGCTCTGCTGCAGAGAAAGGTTCAGGAAATGGGTATAAAAGGTGCACTTTTTGCAAACTTTTTGTTCGATCTCTTCACCAGGTCAACTCCTCCCACCTGTGCTTTCCACTGTCTCCTCGTCTCACCATCTTCTCATATGTCTTTGACCCGTTATACTATGAACGAGCCTGATGGAACTCCGTTCCAGGAGCTTGTCGTCTTTCCTACGCTCGCACCTCAACTTGCTCGCCCTCAGAACACACCAACCTTTGGAGGTATTGGTACGGCTCCGCAGCCTATGGTCGGGGAAAATAATGGCAAGTCTCACAAGTCACTCACCATATTTTGTCCTCATATAACTTACCTACCTTTTTGTTGGTCCAATGGCAGACGAAAATCTACCTATTGGTGCGTAACACATTCCAAATTTCTTTGCTTGTATTAACACTATTTTACCAGTTCCAGAGCACACATTTTATCTTACGGCAGTCCTACATTATCGCGAAGCATCCACTGGCCAAGGTGCGAAGTCGAAACCAAAGAAAGCCTCGGAGACCAAAGGGGGACCTGCAATTCCGTTGTTCAGCATGTCTCGCTGTGACCTTCTCCAGGATGTGTTGAAACTACACGACCTTCATCAGCTCTTCCGGCCATCTGTGATTTCAGGATTCCCTGTTGAGATATCTTGGCCTGGCTCGCCGTAAGTGTTATTATCGTCCATCTTAATCCAAAATTATCATATTCATACGTATTCACAGTGGCGGAAAGACAAATGCCCCGACTATTCGTGACGACAACGAGTTCAAGACTATTCTGGATCAGCTATACCAGAAGAGGACCGTTAAAAATATTCTTATCAGCTTTGATGTTGATCATCTTGAGCCGTTCCGTATCTGTTCTGCAACAGTCCTCGATCCTCGTTTGGCACCATGGTCCACCAACATTCCAGAGATACGTATGGGTACTCAGGTCTGTTTTCATGTGGTCTTCCATTCATTGAATTTCACTGAATTTTCATCCTGAAAGGTTCCGCGCCCTGATGGCTTTGGCTCTGCTGATCAACTGCACGGAAGCATTATTATGGATCTGAGAGAAGAGTGGAAATGTGCTGAACACGACACAGGAGCATGCTATCGAAAAGATAGTGCCCACTTTCCACTCAACCGCTGGAAGACCAAGACTTGGGCTGCTGCGATTGTACGTCTGTCTATTTTATCTGATAAATAAGATATTTAATCTGCCTATAGGCCGCTAATGAACCTGGGGTTACAATGCGGGATCCACCATCGACGCTGTTCCGAGTTGACGATGCTTTGACTTCACGGGTCATCAAGTCTTGTGGAAGATCAGGGCCCCATTCTACTCACCAGCATACAGCTAGTGATTCTGCGATCGAAGCTGGTACGATCATGTCAGCATTCTTTACCTCTCTCTTGCAGCAGAACCATCTTATGGCTCCACTCACCCCAGCTTGCAAGCACCATATTAGCCCGATGTCATCTCCTGCAGGTCCTCCTGATTTGTCTTCACCCATCTCTATTCCTGAGGATAATCTTCCGATTGTTCTCGAAGCTTTCGGACATGCAAAATCTATTCCTGAAGAAGCTATAGATCTTGCAGTAGCTGGTCTCACGGAAAAGAGATACACTGCTGATACCCTCTCATTTGCAGGAGTTCAACGCCTCGCAGAGATTACCCAGTTTGCTGAAGGTGATGCTGCACAACTGATAAAAATTTCCAAGGAATGGATGGGCAAAGTTGAACGCAAACAAGCTCGCCTCGCCGTACCTGGATCTAGCCGTCATTAGGTCTTTAACACATATTCTCGATACACTCTTTGATACACACTCTCTCTATTACTCTACATTCTTTTTACTACGCTCTTTCAAATTACTTTACATTCATCTACTACTCAATATAATCGTCATTATCTGGTATATATCCACAGTCCCGGAACCACCCTGACGCTTTTGAGTGGGTTACAGTCTTACAGATTCTACGGCTTGATGGATCAACCAGGGTAATTTTTCGGGACTATCATACTCTTCTTCGTGACGTCGAAGCCATGCTTTGACGCTTGAAAATGCCTCTTCAATGGGATTAAAATCCGGCGAGTATGGAGGGAGGTAAACCAAACGGGCACCTATTTATCACATGAATAGCTTTGGAATAGCTTTACATTGAATCTAGAGTTCATTACTCACTGCAGTCGTCCTCAATCATAGATCTAATCTCTTCGTCATGGTGGATTGCACAGTTATCCATAACCACAATGCTCCGCCTTCCCGGATATGGATTTAAAACAGGAATCTAAAGCAAAGATGAGGATTTCAATGGAGATAATTGAAATAGGAACGTACAACTTGCTGTTGGAGAAAAAATATGAATCGATCACGGTTGATGGCACCTTCGAAGATATCCAGTGCAATGATACCATTGATTGTAAGGGCTGGAAGAATTGAATAGTGGGCGCCTCGAAGGAACGTTCCACGTCGCACACATGGTGTTCCACGTCGAGCCCATCCTGCAAGCCGCTGTGTGCTGAGATTATTGACAGCACTTTCATCAAGGAAAACAAAGAGATCGGGGTCGTCGTACTGTGCCATATTTCCCTCCCATATTGCCCTGAGTAGATCATTTCGCTCTTTGGCCTCCTTGGATACCGTCTTTCTGCTGAAGTCGAGACAGTCGATGGCACGTTGGATCGATGCTATTGAAACATTGATACTGCAATCTTCCACCAGCTTTGCATGAATCTCGTCCAAATAAATGGTTGGTTGCGACTCTAGCAAGGTGTCGATGTATGTACAATCTTCAGCATCAAGCAGCCGTGGTCGCCCCAAATGGTGTCCGAAGGGATTTATTGATGTACCATATGTATTGCTGTACTTTAAAATAGTGGCAATTGTTCCAATTGAACAGCCTGCTACGTCAGCAAGCTTTCTATATGGCCAATGGTATTTCGTACGCCACATTACTACCTGATCGCGCAAGTCTTTGGAGAGAGGCGGAGCCATGGTGAGTGCGGAGAGCGACTGATGTGTTATCTAGGCGATAATCACTCATGTTTGGCTGTGGGAAAGCAGTCACATGATCACTCAGAAATCTCGGTCGTGTTCAGTTTATTATGCAAAAGGCTGTAATCCGGAAGAGACGAATCCTCCTATCATTCAAATACTGACGCTTCCTTTCAATGACAGGGTCCTCTTTGAGAAGACCTTGAATGTCCAATTTTCCCTCTTCGGAATCTTTGAAAAGGCTGCTGAGCAAGGTTTTCGCGATTGCAGAAGCAAAATTCTGGTTAAGCTCGTGTTCGATGGTAAGGGGCACGTAGTCAATAATTCGCTGAAGCAAAGTATCATCATTTGACGTTGGCAATGATAAGAACTCGACGCTTACCTTGTAGGCGACCTGGAAATATGCTTGAACATTTGCAATGATCTTCAATTCCTCTTCGATAGTCCACGTTGTAGGAGTATCCTCCGATTCAGAACCCGAATGGGGTTTTGGGAAAAAATGGATGATGGTTGGTCGCGCAGGCCTTTCTACAACGGAAGACGTTGTCGGTCCTGGCCTTGACACTGGGCTTACAACATAGGGGACGGCGTAGGGGGCCGGGGAGTGGCCTATGTATCGTTGTAACCAAGCATGTCGTGTGGTTTTGTACTTATCGACCCATTTCTTTTCCTCTGAGGCGAGCAGATC